AGGACTGTAAGTTAGCAAATATAAGGCACTTAGAACAATTTCTGGCGCACTATAAGTTGTTCGCTTAGAAAAGTTCAGGTGGAGGAGAAAGGAAAGAGACTAGTTAGGAGAGAATGAGAATAAGATATGGGGCAGGGAGCTGGGCGCGGTGGCTCGTGCCTGTGAATCCAGGACTTTTGGAGGCTGAGGCGGGCAGATCACTTGAGGTCAGGAGTTCCAGACCAGCCTGGCCAAAATGGCGAAACCCCATCTCTCTTAAAAATACAAAACTTAGCCGGGTGTGGTGGTGAGTGCCTGTAATCCCAGCTCCTCGGGAGGCTGAGGCAGGAGAATTGCTTGAATCCAGGAGGCTGAGATTGCATCACTGCATTCCAGCCTGGGTGACAGAACAAGACTCCATCTCAAAAAAAGAGAGAGAGAGATGGGATGGGACAGGGGCATGCATCCAGGAGAAAATGGTTTGTGGTAGGGGAGGGAGGAGAGTTGGGAGCAGACACTGAAATTTAATACCAGAAAGGAGGCTGCAGACAAGTGCAGGAGGCGAACTACTAAGCACCACCACTGAGGGAGCACCCACCACGTGCTGGGTGCGTCACACCGCGTTGCTAGTCTCAGGTCACCTTTTGGAAGTAGGTATTCTTCTGGTTTTTTTGAGACAGTCTCTCTCTGTCTGTCAGGCTGGAGTGCAGTGGCATGATCTCAGCTCACTGCAACCTTCACCACCTGGGTTCAAGCGATTCTTGTGCCTCAGCCTCCCAAGTAGCTGGGATGACATGCACCCACCACCATGCCTGACTAATTTTTGTATTTTCAGTGGAGATGGGATTTCATTCACATGATGGCCAGGCTGGTTGGTCTCAAACTCGAACTCCTGACCTCAAGTGACCTGCCCGCCTTGGCCTCCCAATGTTCTGGGGTTACAGGTGTGAGCCTGTAAGTAGGTATTCTTAGCTCCTGATTACAGATGGGGCAACTGAGGCAGGTTGCCTACTTGTGTTTCTGGCTTTCCCAGCCAGTCACTGAAGGAGTCGGAGCTTAACCCCATGTGACCACCAAGCCAGCATTTTCTGTGCTTCAGACCTTCAAATCCCTGTTTGCAGCCTGCCAGACTTCATGTGGCAGGGGCTTCCAGCCCACTCTTGGCTTGCTGCTGGGTTCTGGATAAATCTGAGCAAGAAGTGTTCAGTGCCAATCAATGAGCAGTATAGAGAATTTCTGGAAGGGAGACACCCGAAGCTGTGAGACAGGGGGACTTCCAGGGAACTTCTGCGGAGTCTGGGATGAATGGGAGACTCATCCTGACAACTTTTGGGCTCTCTGGATTCTTTTAGTATCTGCAAGTACTGTATGTGTTCAATTGTGTTGAAGACTCCAGGTAGTATTCTGAACTCCCTGAAAGTGAGAACCAGGTTTCATTCATGTTTCCATCTTTTCAACCCGTGGATCAGTGACTTTCCATGGAAGTAGTACCTGCATTTGGGGTCGACCTTTGTGTTTTCCCCGTATTGGTCTGGCTTGGCCTGGCTGGACCGCTGGCTGGCTGGGTGGCTGTGACCTAGCCCCTTCTTGTTCTTTCCTCCTCTGTCAAGTGAGAGTGTTGGTCTGAAAGATCTCTAAAGCCTGGAAGAAGAGCTGATCCTCTGTGCTCAGCCCCCACTCTGTGTCAGGGAGTCCTGGCAACCACAGTGTTCTTTCTCCTGTTTATTTATTCTTGGATCTTCCTGAAGCCAGTTCACTGCCAGCTTTCATCTCTGCCAGCCCCATGGAGAGTCAAGCTTTTTCCAGCCTATGTCAGGGAAAGAGAACCAGAGACAGCAACCTCGGGTGTGAAGGGAGTCAGCCCTAAACCCAGGACTGTGGCCTCCTGCTTTCCTCTTGCTGCTGGGGCCTAGGTCTTCCTGCTGCTTCCTTTTCAGCTAGTCAAGAGTCCAGAGAGGTGGGAACGGCCTTAACAAAAGACACTGAAGGTGAGTAGGGACGATCACTTGAGCCCAGGAATTAGAGACCAGCCTGGGCAACAGGGGAAGACTTTGTCTCTATGGAAAGACCCCAAACACCAAACCAAACCAAAACAAAACAATTTAGCCAGGCTTAGTGGTGCATAATGCAGTCACAGCTACTCAGGAGGCTAAGGCAGGAGAATCGCGTGAGTTCAGGTCAACACTGCAGTGAGCCATGTTCATACCACTGCACTCCAGGCTGGACATTAGTGCAAGAGCATGCCTCAAGTAAGTAAATAAATAAATAAAATAAAAAAGACATTGGAGGCATTGGGAAGGGGGTTCTAGGTGGCAGTGCTCCTGAGGAAGCCCTCTGCCCCACCGAAGACATGAAGTTCCTGGGAGAGCGGGTGGTTAGCAAGGCTCAGGTGTTCGTCCACCCGGTGCAGATCTAGAAGGCAAAGTCATACCTGCCGGCCAGGGAAGGCCGAGGCAAGGAGGTAGGAGCAGTAGGAAAGCCAGTTTGTTCTAGGTGCTTAGAACTGTGTTTGTGTCTACTCTGGAGGTTGCTGAGGGCTGGGGTGCACCTGTTGGAGCAGGGCTCATAGGTTTCTGGGTAATACCAGGTATTCTGGTTTCAGAAGGTGACGTGGTAGGCCCATGTGCCCCAGTGCCAAGTGAACTGTTTCTTAAGTCTGCTGCAGTTGCCTCCAAAGAAGATAGAAAGGGGTAGTAGCCAGGATTCCAAAACGGAGAGCTTACCAGCCTGGCCGAGAGCCATGTAGAGAAGGGTCCTGCCCTAGACAGTATTCCCGGTCCCTCGGGTCCATTTACTCCTCATTTTTTTTTTCAGTCTGATCCCAAATTAGTAGTAACAGCCCTCTGAGACAGAGAGTGATGAGAAGAGGTTCCTACACTCAGGCCAGAACTGGGATGCAGGCTGTTCGTGCTCTGGCTTCAGTTCATCTACTGACAGGGTGCCATTAGATACCATTCCTCTCTCTGGGACACAAAGAGAGCTGTTCCCAGGTCTTTCTCTGTTGCTCTGGGCTCTTCTGAACTTGATGGTCCTCAGCACAGGGCCAGGGAGTGGGGGAAAAGCAGAACTTTTACTAGGAATTGCTATTGGAAGCAGCCCCCATTGCCGACATGTACGCACTCTTGCACACGGCTTTTCTGAACAGACTTTATATTACGGGTTATCACCACAAAGCATCCTTTTGGGGCCTGGTAGCCAACACCACAGAGTTCAGGACCATTAATTTTTCTCCTATCCAGAGAGTGCATGGTGTCCAGAACGTGGTTACCGGAGAGCGAGGTGCAGAGAACCTGGCTCTGCTCCCAAGCATGACTGCTGCTGACCAGCCCTTGGGCAGGGACTGGGGAGGTGGGAGAGAATTCCCAGGAGGCAAGGGACTCAGCCTGACACAGTCTCTGGGAGTGGATCCTGGAGCCCAGTACAGAAACTTCTGGGAGGACCAGGTCCTGCAGAAGAAAGGGGTACTAAGAAAGCCTGGGATTGGCAGTTGCCATGTCGCGGGGAGGAGAGTTTGCCTCTGGGGCTCACGCCTTGAGACATATGCATGCTGTGGCTCAGGCAGGTGGTCAAGAGAGAGTCATTGTATTTGATTTGCAAGTTACTAACAGAGCCTGCCATGTGCCAGCAAGGTGTGGTGCAGATGGGCATGGCTTCCACATGGCACCACGGAGACCATGATAAATGAAGGACTGAGGGGTAGACCCAGAGTGAGTGCTGCGGAAAAGGAGGAGGGGGGAGATTAGGGGGAGCTTCTGAGAGATAGACTTGGTCTGGACCTCACAGGATGGGCAGAATTTCAATAGGTAGAGCGGCATCTTTTGACCAAGATTTGTCATCCAAAGCACGGAGGGCAGTCGGTGGGAGTCTCCCTGTGCTTCGGCTGCCCCTCCCCAGCAGCGCCTGCCTGCAGGGAGTTCTCCTCATCTCTGAAGAGGAATGGTGGCTGCTTCTGAGACACAGAACCAAAGGATCACCCCAACAGTTTCTCAAAAAATGCCCCTTCTTCCCCAAGTCTGGCTGGCAGAGGGCTTCTGTATCCACCCAGTACCTGCTCCAGGCCGCCTCTGGGTCTCCTGGCCTCCTGTCTCCTTGACCCTGAGCTGGACAGCAAGAGAGAAGGGTGTCTGCCAGGGACTGGTGGCCTCAGGACTCAGCCTTTCTTCTGTAACCCCTCCCCTGGGGGCTTTCCGCTACTGACCAACTTTGGGCTCTACTATCGGTTTGCTTGCAGAGCCTACGAGCCTCGAGAGAGGCAGCCATTTCCTAAAGAAAAGATTTCTGTCTCAGATTATCTGGGAAAGAGGCTGAGTCGGTCCCTTCTCTGAGAAAACAGAGGCAGCAGGACATAGGATGGGATAGTAGGAGGAAAAGTGTCTGCACTGCAGGGTCCTTGGGCTATGCACCCCTGACTTGACCACTTCCCAGTTCCCACCAGATCTGACTTGACCTCTGGGCCATGACCCAGTCCCTCCCCCACTGTGGAAACCTCTGTGTCCCCCCTACTCCCCCACTCCCACCTGGGAGGCTCTGAGCAGGTCAGGCTCCCCCTCTCCAGGTCTGTTCCTCCCATCTCCTACCGTGCCCCCCCAGCTGGGCTCTCCCACCTCTGGCCCCGCCTCACCTCTCAGCCCTCTTCTTTCCCTCGGGCAATAGGAGCCTGCTTTGGCTGCCCAGGGAAGATCGTATCTGACCAGAGGAGGGAGGGCTGAGGGCATTGCTGGGTAAGCTGAGGCCTCCTTAGGTTCTTGCTGTGGCCTGAGCTCTAGTCACTCAGAAGCTTGCCTGAGGAAGAGGGAGCTGGGGAGCCCTCTTTGCCAGCAGGGGGACTGGAGGAGCTGGATGGGGTGGAGTCCTCTCATTTTGGTTAACTTCTGGTGGAAGTCCCAGGCTCAAGCTTGGAGTGGCAGGGAGCAGGCCTGGCTTGACCTTCTCTCCTGCCTCCTCCTTCTCCTCACCCCTTCCTGCTCCTTCTCCACACCCCTTCCTGCAGCTCCTTCACTCTGTCTCTCTTCTCTCTACAGATGGGACCCAGGTGAGCCCGGGTGCCCACTGTCGCAGCCCCACTGGCACAGGTAAGAGTCAGGCCTGGGGGAGCCCATGGTGGGTAGTGGAAGATGAGGGGTGGAAGGACAGTAAGAAGAAGAGAAGCTGAGGGGTCAGAAAAGCAGTATCGCTGGCTGATCCACCAGAGCCAGGAGCTAGGGGCTCCAGGGAGGGGTGAGGAGCTGGGGTGAGAGAGGCAGCTCTGGATGCCAGCTGGGCGCAGAGCTAGGAAACACAGCAGGAAAAGGACAGACAGGATGCCAGGATGCCCTTCTCGTCCTTGCTGGGTGCAGTGAAACAGGAAGGAAAGTAAGAAGCTAATATTTATACTTAGACCCCTGCCCACATCAGGTACCAGGCAAGCTGTGTTCTTGTGCGTGGACTGATTCGGTCCTCACACCAGCCCTGGAAGGTGTGCATGGCAGCCCCTGCAGGACTGCTCTGCTGGAGAGGAAGGGTTCTCTTTCATCCGTGCCTGCTCCCACTGCCCACCGAGCCTCCTCTGCTGCTGGGCTGTCCTGGGGAAGGACTAAACTTCCTGCCACTGCTTTGGTTTAGGACATGCCCATGGGGCTAGGTCTGCACTAGACGCAGTCTGCCCTTCCTTCAGCGCAGCCGATATCAACTGAGGGTCTACTGAGTGCAAGATTTATAGCCTGACCTGCAGTAATTCCTGTAGCAGCGAGGAATGGAGCTCAGGCATCCTCCTTGCTTCAGTCCTGGCTGTTCAAAAGCTAACAGGCAGGTTAGGGAGGAAGGTCACACAAATACAAGCAGAAAAAAACAGTAGAATGCAATAATGTGACCAGTGCCCACTGAAAGGACATGGATTCAGTAGTTTATCCATTTGTTCAAGAATCGTTAATGAGCCCTGTCTCTGTGCCAGGGTACTTTCCTGGACATTTAAGAGAGACACAGATTTATTCATTGATTCCATGTTTGTGGCTCAGACATGGTACCTGCCCACAGGGCGCTAATCCCGGCGTGGAACCGCAACGTGATTGAAGTCCAAAAGAGGGAGGGATGCTAGGCTCTGGCTGGGTCCAGGGATGAGGGAGGACTCCAGCTGGGCTTTGAGCAAAGAGTAGGATTTGGAAAAGTAGAAGGTAGGGATGAGGACAGCACAGACGGGGACACTGTGAGCAAAAGCTCAGAGAACGGAAGAGACATGGATTTGTGATGGCCAAGGTGGAGGGTTCACGTTCAGATGCAGACCAAATTGAGAGAAGCCAAGTTAGGACCAGACTGTGGAGCCTCACAAATGCTAAAGCACCCTGAGAAGTATTTCCAGGGCTCCGGGTAGAGCCCATCCTATACTCTCTTCTGCTGTGGAGGCAGTGGTCATGCAGAGAATGAGGGGAGGGGCCCCTGCTGGGGGGACTGCTTACACTCTGTGTGTGGCTGAAGCCACTGGTCTTGAGTCTAGGTGGCTGGCCTTGGTTTCCCTAAGCCCCTCTTGCATCATCAGGGGACTCACCCCAGGAAGCCAGGACACAGAACATGGAAGGACTGAGACCTTTCCTGAGGCAGGAATGTGTTGGTATTGGAAATCCAGACTCAGCCTGAACAAGAATCCAGATTTCTTGGGAGGCAGTGTGAACGCAAGGTGGTGCATTGTCTACTGCAGGCGGTATCTGGGTGCACAGGCATCAGCCGTCCCTCTGGGGCTCTTGATATTCAGGGGGCATGGGGGGCACCTCCTTGCTGGGCTCCTTTCTCGTGTCCTCCATGTCACAGTCAGGGAATGTTAGAGTGAATGCCCACTAGTGACAGGCTACTGCAAATCCCTCTTTGCCTAGTGACAGCCCCTCGAGGGGAGGTGAATTCCTGAAAGTTGGTGGGAAACTGGAGTACCTGCCTTGGTAGGACCAGACCCCATGCTAACTCTGCCCCTAGCTGGGTTACTTTAGACAGGGCCCTTCAGCTCTGAGCCTCAGTTTCCTTTTTTAGAATAACAAGATAGTAATGTCTACCCCCCAGGGACAATGGGTTGATGAGCTGAGAGGGTTTTGTAGATGCTCATGCAGAAATGCTGTGGATGTAAAGAGTGTGGTTAGGAGTGGCTGGCTTGGGCCTGGAGGCTGTGATTTCTGACTCCTAGACTAGTGCTTTGCCACCGGCCTTACCAGCCCTCCTCAGCCCCAAACCCTGAGGACAGTCTGCGGCTGTCCCACTGGGAGATGTCCAGCATTGGAATTGCTGAAGGAGGCCTCTCCAGGAAGGTTTCTCCACTTGTGTGCCCTCCCATGGGGCCAGCCTGCTCCCACCCCCACCCACTCCCCCTTCTTGAGGATGAGCCGGCTGCAACAGCTCCATCTCTGAGTGTCTCAGCCTCTCTGGCTGCTCAGCCCAGCCTGGTCCAGCTAGCTATGCTGGCATGGACCCTAGTCTGGTGGCCAGTTATAAATAGCCCCTGCACCCACAGCCTTGGCAGGGTGCTCCTGGCGTGGGTGCAGAGGACAATTGAGAAGAGGCAGCCGTGCCTGTCATCCTGACCATGCCAGGCCCAGAGCTGCCACAGAGGCAACCAGGAGCAGACCCAAGGGCACACGGGGCCTGTGAGCTGAGGAACCTGCCCTGGGCACAGGGTTCTGCAGGCCCCGGGTGGCGGTCAGGGCTGGCTGTAGGCTTGAAGCATCAGTGTATCCCATGACTGGGGTTAGAGCATGGGAGGGTTGTGATCCAGAGGGCCTGCGAGGCTTGGAGCTGGAGGCGGAACAAAGTGGGCCTGTTTGCTTGCCCGATCGCTTCCTTTGAGCCCAACTCAATAGAGGGCAGCTGGGCAAACCCTTTGATTCCAGGGAGAGACGAAGGGAGGGAGAAGGCAGGGCCAAGATGTCCCACCATAGGGCGTGCAGCTCCTCATAGGTCCCCGTAGCCCTCAGCCCCCTGCCCGAGCAGCATGTCTAGTGGAAGAGCACTGTGCATGGAGTCGGAAGCCTCCATTCAAACACCACCAGCGATACAGTGTAACTGGACAGTTCATGTGACCTTTTCTCTCACTAGCAAAGTGGAATTGATAATACCTGCCTTGCAGGACTCTGACAAGGACTAAGTGAGGGAAAACTCCACAAGAGGGTTTTGCCATCCTCAAGTGAGCCCGACGGAGGTGGTCGGGCTGTAGTCATGCCTCCGAGGGCAAACTTTCCAACCTACCCTGCCCCTCTCTCTGTCCCCAGGCTGCCCCAGGCCCTGTGCAGACACACCAGGCCCTCAGTCCCAGCCCATGGACCTGCGGGTGGGCCAGCGGCCCCCAGTGGAGCCCCCACCAGAGCCCACATTGCTGGCGCTGCAGCGTCCCCAGCGCCTGCACCACCACCTCTTCCTAGCAGGCCTGCAGCAGCAGCGCTCGGTGGAGCCCATGAGGGTAAAGATGGAGCTCCCACACGTGGGGCCACCCTGAGCTTGGTCCCCAGCCTCCCTGCCTCCAGTTCCCTACACCCCAGTTTCAGTCCTCAACTCCTTGTCCCTTCCTGGGCCTCCGGCCCTGCCCACAGCTCTCCATGGACACGCCCATGCCCGAGTTGCAGGTGGGACCCCAGGAACAAGAGCTGCGGCAGCTTCTCCACAAGGACAAGAGCAAGCGAAGTAAGGATGAAGCTGCCCCAGCCCAGCCCTGCCCCACCCCACCCAGCCCAGCCCAGCCCCACCAGCCAGGTGCCTGTGGCTGCCTGTGTGGCCTGTGAGGGCTGAGGTGAGAGGGGTGCAGCCAGCTGGGCCTGAGCTGAGCCTTTCCCTCTGCCTGCGAATGCGTGGGGTGGGGGGGTGGGGGTGGGGGAGTATCTGGAGGCTCCAGGGAGGGGTAGGGCCTTGGGCTTGGCTCTTGTGTGGGGAGTCCCTGGGATGCCTCCTACTGAGGATGGGGACAGAGCCATGCCAGGGAGTGCCACAAGGCTGTCTGTCCACCCACCTGCAGCCCCCTTCATGTCTCTGCTCCAACAGGTGCTGTAGCCAGCAGCGTGGTCAAGCAGAAGCTGGCAGAGGTGATTCTGAAAAAGCAACAGGCAGCTCTCGAGAGAACAGTCCATCCCAGCAGCCCCAGCATCGCCTACAGGTAACGCCCTCCTCACCTGCTCCTCCCATCCCCACATGCCCCCCACATGTTAGCCATGAGCACATACACACTTGCCCCCTTTCTCTCCAACTGCCACTCCCAGTCCTTACCCTTCCTCTAAGCATAATGCCCCCAAGCCCCTCTCTCAACTGATACCTGCCCTCTTCTCTCTTTAAGTTTTCTCCCCACCCTGCCCAAAGCCCTTCACACACACACACACACACACCCCCTACTGGCTTTATTTCTTGCACATATGAGCCTCTTCACTGGTTATATTTTCCCTGAGCACAAAAATGTCCTAGTTCCCAGGGCAGGTTCCTAGTGCAGGTGACAGAGCCTCCAGTGGTCCCCTCACCCAGGCACCTGGCTTCTATGCCTAGGTCAGAGCTCTGCACTGTGGCTGCTGGAGAGGACAGGTGGCCCACTGCTGCCATCTGGAGACGGTCCTCATCCTGCCAGCCCCACACTGCCCAGCCCTGCCTGCTGCAGCCTTCTCCATAGGTCCCAGGGCCCATGCTCAGGGTGATGCCCGTGCAGTGTCCCCACCCCTCTGAAGCAGCCTTGGCACTCATTCTGCAGAACCCTGGAGCCCCTGGAGACAGAAGGAGCCACCCGCTCCATGCTCAGCACCTTTTTGCCTCCTGTTTCCAGCCTGCCCAGTGACCCCCCAGAGCACTTCCCCCTGCGCAAGACAGGTGAGCTGGACAGACAGGCGGGACCTTCCAGGCAAAGGAACAGGGAAGGGCCTTGGACATGGGCAGGAGTGTGCAGGGGCAGTCAGGCAGGCTGGGCCAGGGGATCGTCGGTAGGCTAGGCTAGGATCTTCTTTCTGGCTCTCCCTTCTCTTTCCTGGACTCGTAGAGATGACTGGGACAGAGGGAACTAAAAGGTGGGAAAAAGAAGGGTGGTGGGGGCCTGAGTGACGCCGGTGCTCCCCGCAGTCTCTGAGCCCAACCTGAAGCTGCGCTATAAGCCCAAGAAATCCCTGGAGCGGAGGAAGAATCCACTGCTTCGGAAGGAGAGTGCTCCCCCCAGCCTCCGGCGACGACCTACAGAGACCCTCGGAGGTGAGGGCCGGCCAAGCGGGTGCAGTTGCCATCCTCAGACCTGGCTGGTCTTGTCCCTTTGGGTCAAGCCCCACCCAGACAGGGGTCTCCCTTCCCTAAGACTGCTGTGCCAGGTTGTATGGGGGTGTCTCACACACTTGCCGAAGGCGGGGAGTTGGGGCTGAAACCCAGCCCCTGCTCTATTAGCTGACATCTTCCAGGAAGGGAGACGGCCTTTTAAAAAACAGTGTGCAAAGGTGCTGTCGGCCAAAGGTGGCCTGCCTTCTTCCTGCTCTTATGGGAAGAAAGCAGGAGGCCAGGTGTGATGGCTCATGCTTGTAATCCCAGCACTTTGGGAGGCCAAGGTGGGCAGATCACCTAGGTCAGGAGTTTGAGACCAGCCTGGCCAACATGGTGAAGCCCTGTCTCTACTAAAAATACAAACATTAGCCGGGCATGTTGGTACATGCCTGCAGTCCCAGCTACTTTGGAGGCTGAAGCAGGAGAATCGCTTCAACTTGTGAGGCAGAGGTTGCAGTGAGCCGAGTTCGCAACATTGCACTCCAGCCTGGGCAACAGAGCGAGACTCTGTCTCAAAAAGAAAAAAAGAAAGCAGGAAGCAGAGGTGCCCGTTAAGGAAGGGGCTGCCCCTGGGTCTCCTGCACCAGGCGGCCTGGCTGTAACCTCCTGCCCTCCCTGGCCTCTGACTGCACTTCCCTCTCTCCCCAACCCTCAGACTCCTCCCCAAGTAGTAGCAGCACGCCCGCGTCAGGGTGCAGCTCCCCCAATGACAGCGAGCACGGCCCCAACCCCATCCTGGGCTCGGAGGTAAGGCCTTGCCGAGACTGGGCTCTCCTGGGGCAGTTCTGAGGCCCAGCCTTCTTCTAGCTAGTGGCCCTTCCCCGGCTGGGGCTACAGGGTCTGGGCAGCCCCTGCCAGAGCCTCCTGGGTGTTCTGGGGAAGGCGCACCGGGGTAGAGGTCTGGGACCGGTGACCCTCGCCCTGCTCCCATGGCAGGCGCTCTTGGGCCAGCGGCTGCGGCTGCAGGAGACTTCTCTGGCCCCGTTCGCCTTGCCGACAGTGTCCTTGCTGCCCGCTATCACGCTGGGGCTGCCCGCCCCTGCCAGGGTGAGTGGCTGGGGTGCCCACCCCCACTCCAAGCCCCCCCAGCTTCTTTCACTCCCTTTTCCTGCTGCCTCATCCCATCACCTTCATTGTTTTCGGCTGGAATCTTCTTCCCCGTGACTTCTCCTGCCTCTCCCCCAGGCTGATAGTGACCGCAGGACCCATCCGACTCTGGGCCCTCGGGGGCCGATCCTGGGGAGCCCTCACACTCCCCTCTTCCTGCCCCATGGCCTGGAGCCCGAGGCTGGGGGTACCTTGCCCTCTCGCCTACAGCCTATTCTCCTTCTGGACCCCTCAGGCTCTCATGCCCCGCTGCTGACTGGTGAGTCTGCTGCTTCTCCAGGGAAGGGCCTGGGTCCCTGCACCCTGCTAAGTGCCAAGCTTGGGATGGGCCCGTCCTTCCTCCCTTCTCTGTCCCCAATCCTGCGCATCACCCTGCAGCACCCTGGCCCCCCACCCTATACCCTTGCTTCCTTCCATTGCTCCCTGTGGTTCCCTCCTTATTCCACCCCCTGATTTTTTACAGTGCCTGGGCTTGGGCCCCTGCCCTTCCACTTTGCCCAGTCCTTAATGACCACCGAGAGGCTCTCCGGGTCAGGCCTCCACTGGCCACTGAGCCGGACTCGCTCAGAGCCCCTGCCCCCCAGTGCCACCGCTCCCCCACCGCCGGGCCCCATGCCCCACCTGGAGCAGCTCAAAACTCACATGCAGGTGATCAAGGTGAGAGGAATTGGGTAGTGGGGGTATTGAAGGGGTGCTTAACTGGGGCCTTGGGGGCCAAAAGAAGAGGGGTACTTAGAAAAGGCAGGGATCTGGAGGGCAAAAGAGGGGGATGTGGCTTCTGGGGTACCAGAGCTTCATGGCAGCTGGAGTCCCAGCAAGATGACTGGCTGCCTGGCCCAGCCCACCGCCTCCCACCCCATGCCCCTTGCTTTACCGTGGCATTTCAGCCAGGCATCTCCCCTTCCCAGAGGTCAGCCAAGCCGAGTGAGAAGCCCCGGCTGCGGCAGATACCCTCGGCTGAAGACCTGGAGACAGATGGCGGGACACCCGGCCAGGGGGTGGATGATGGCCTGGAGCACAGGGAGCTGAGCCATGGACAGCCCGAGGCCAGAGGCCCTGCATCTCTTCAGCAGCACCCCCAGGTATGGCAGTGCCCACCTGCCCCTCAGAAAATGTCCTCAGAAGACTCTGGGGCCTGGCATAAGATAGGGTAGGGAGGGAGATATGACAGGGTGGGAGGCAGCTCTAGGACCCACGGTTGCCTATAAGATCCTGGGTGCTGGATCCGCACCAAGGTGTAGGCACACACACATGGACAGTCACCCATACACATATACACCCATACACACTCACACACCCATGCACACTCACATACCCCCACACATACACACTCACACACCCATACACACACATGCACTCACACACCCATCCACACACACACACCCATCCACACACCCATCCACACACCCATCCACTCACACCCATATACACTCACCCATCCACACACCCATGCACACACACCCATACACACTCACACCCATGCACACTCACACACCCATACACACACATGCACTCACACACCCATCCACACACACACACCCATCCACACACCCATCCACACACCCATCCACTCACACCCATACACACTCACCCATCCACACACCCATGCACACACACCCATCACACACCCATGCACTCACACACCCATCACACACACCCATACACACCCATGCACACACACCCATACACACTCACACCCATGCACACTCACACACCCATACACACACAACAGTTTGCCGGTCTCAGGTGTGGCCATGTCCCTTTTCCAGCAGGGAGTCTGGCCTTCCCTGCAGCCACACACAGTCCTGCCCTGGCATGTCTCCCCTCTATCCAGAAAGGTGGCTAGGGCTATCCAGAAAGGTGGCTAGGGCGGGAGGTGGGATGAGCCAGGCTCCAGCACGTTCGGCAGAATGCGCTCACTGTGGGAATCAAGACCCAGTGCATTGGCTTTTGAGAGCTGTTGGGATCCGTGCTATAGGCTGTGTGTCTGAGACAGCAGACATTTACCGGCTCACAGTTCTGGAGGCTGGAAGTTGAAATCAAGGTGTTGGTGGAGTTGTGAGGGCAGGGGCTGTTCCAGGTCTCCCTCCTTGGCTTGTGGATGGGCATCTTCTTCCTGTGGCTTCACATGGTTTCCCTGCGTGTGTGTCTGTTCGGATTTCCTCTTCCTGTAAGGCCCACAGTCATGCTGGGTTAAGGCCCACCCTAACGACCTCATTTTAATTTGATTTTTTCTGTTTGTAAAGACCTTCTCTCCAAATAAGGTCATGTTCAGAGGTGCTGGGGGTTGGGACTTAACATATAAATTTGAGGGTGGGGGACATAATTCAATCTATAACACATGGTGACAGGCCACATACATGTTCTTGCATGGTTACACAGTCCAGGAGGTGAGGGCATCCTAGTCAGAGCGAGATCCAACACCCCTCCCCTGGTTTCTGGCTGTGGAGTCCCAAGGGTCCAGGGAGCTCTGATGGAATGGGTGGTCAGTCTGGGGTGCAAGCCTTTGAGGGGACTGCCGGGGACAGGGAGAGTCAAAGGCCAGAGCCCCACTGGATGGCAGGTCTAGGTTTCTTCTGGAATAAGGCAGATGTAGAGGGAATAGGCAGATGTAGAGGGATCAGGACCCTGAGACACTGGAGACCAAGGCCCCATCTTCTCTCCAGGTATTGCTCTGGGAACAGCAGCGACTGGCTGGGCGGCTCCCCCGGGGCAGCACCGGGGATACTGTGCTGCTTCCCCTGGCCCAGGGAGTGCACCGGCCCCTGTCCCGGGCTCAGTCTTCCCCAGCCGCACCTGCCTCACTGTCAACCTCGGAGCCCCCCAGCCAGGCCCGAGTCCTCTCCAGCTCAGAGACCCCTGCCAGGACCCTGCCTTTCACCACAGGTGAGACCGGGAGGAGGGTGGTGGGTGGAGGGAGGGGCTTGGTGGCACGAGTCCATCTGGGTATGACGGTGTCACTCAGCATGTTTTTAGAGGCCGCAGAGCGCTTAGCCTTGTCGGGCCCACATAGTGCCCACGGAGCCCTGGGACAGCTGGTTATTACGTTTGGCTGATGAGGACCAAGGCTCAGGAAATCTAAGGTGACAAGCTTGTGGTCAAATACCAAGTGGTAGCCAAGCCAGGATAAGAATTCCAGTCTCCTGCTGATGCGCTCAGCCGTTTTAAAAAATGATATTTATTACTGTTGCTCTGCTTGTAAAAAGAGCTCAAAAATATTCTAGACATTTTGAAAAAGAGTACAGAAAAACATAAGAATAGAAAAATCACCACGAGTGCCCTGCAACCCAGAAGTAACCCCTCTGAAATTCTGTATTCCAGTTCAGTCTTTGTTCTGGCCCTAGATACGTGTACAGATGCCATAAACACATGAGCTGCGTTTCATATCTGCTTTATGTAGGTAACATAGTATGACCCCTTCTTGGCAAAATTAATCTTCAAAACTGAGCTGAGAGTCTCATGGTATTTCATTATTGTATTTCATTTTTACGAGGGATTCCTTATCAGTTAGATGTTTAGATTATAGCTTCTTTCATTTACCTTCTGCATTAATATTTCCCTCATGCTTGGGATTATTTCCCAAGGTTCACTCAAAAAGAGTAGGGCTCCTGGGCCACATAGGGTGAGCAGTTTGAAGGTCCTTGGTGTTGTAGACACACAGAAATTGACCCTCCCACCCGCTATGCACAGGGCCCTCCTCTGAAGACCCCACGGCAGAATGAAACAGTCACTTCTCCAATGCTGGATTTGTCTGACCCATGGTCCAGTGTCTCTGTGGGCTTCTCAGTTCCAGTTTGGGGGGTTACTAGGAATTCTTTCTCCTCCCGCTGCCCCTCGGTAGCCTCTCTGAGTTCATGACACCCATGTGAGATGCTGTATGTTAGGCCTTGTGCTTAGCTCTGAGCACTTGAGGGCCTGGTGCTGGGCCCTCGAGTGCTGGGCCATGGAGCAGTTGCGTTCCACGTGGGAAGGCCGTGGCTCTGGCAGCCATGTTGGCTGCCGCCACCTGGGGGAGTGTCTGGGTGCATGTGGATTGGCACTGGCACTGGCGCTGGGGCTGGGGGTAGGATGAAATGCAGGCCTGTGTGGGTGTGAGGGGTGTGTGCCCGCCTGACTCTGTGTGGGTGCCTGCTGTGGTGGTGCTGGCGTGTTCTCTGCAGCCAAGGCCATGGGACTCCCCAGGTCCCCACTCTGACCCTTGCTCCCGCAGGGCTGGTTTATGACTCGGTCATGCTGAAGCACCAGTGCTCCTGCGGAGACAACAGCAGGCACCCGGAGCACGCCGGCCGCATTCAGAGCATCTGGTCCCGGCTGCAGGAGCGGGGGCTCCGGAGCCAGTGTGAGGTGAGGTGTGCGGGTGGGGGCCCAGGAATGGGTAGAGGGAGGAGTTGTGGGAGGCCTGGGTTTGGGGGGCCCTGGGGTCCATGTGAGATGAGGCACAGATGGGGTGGTGGTGATAGGAGGGAAGGGGTGAACATGGGCACAGAGCTCTGTGGGCCCCTTCTCAGTGTCTCCGAGGCCGGAAGGCCTCCCTGGAAGAGCTGCAGTCGGTCCACTCTGAGCGGCACGTGCTCCTCTATGGCACCAACCCGCTCAGCCGCCTGAAACTGGACAACGGGAAGCTGGCAGGTAAGGGCCTAGTGGCCCTGAGCCCCGGGTCTCCTGTGCCCGCTCACCTCACCCAGCTCCCGTGCGCTCCTGTCTTGGCTCTGCCCAGCCTGTCTCCTCCCCAGCCCTGGACGTCCCCACTCCCTTCCATATTCCCTCCCGCAATACCCACCTGGCCCTGCTGTCCAGGCTCCCTGCTCCCAGTCGGGCCCAAGGCTGAGAGCATTCACACTGACATGGGCTGGGCTCTCCCTGCAGGGCTCCTGGCACAGAGGATGTTTGTGATGCTGCCCTGTGGTGGGGTTGGGGTAAGTGTGCCCAGGGGTCTCAGGGGCGTTGCCAGGGCTCTCAGCTCTCCTCCCCGTGGTTCTCCCAGGCCCAGCCCCTACAGAACCCCTGCTTGTTGTGGTTCTGCCACAGAGCGTGGGCCAGGGACTTCCTGAGGTGCCCTCTGCAGTGGAAACCTTGTGGACAGGCGTGTCTCAGCTCACAGTGTCCCCCAAATGCGGAGCCTAGCCTAAGCCTCACCCCTAGGAGGTGTTTGGTGGCTGTTGAGCGAGGCTCCAGGAGCAGGGCCAAGGCTGGGGGATAGGTTCACCTCTCCCTCAGAGCCCCTTGTGGTTAGGTATTGGCCGCCAGGCTGCTCTGTCTGCTTTGAAGTGTCAAGTTAGGGAACCTCAGCCTGGTCCCCAGATTTTGGGCTGCCTGGCATGAGGTCATGGTGGCACTTCCAGTGTCCTTGGCCATCCAGCACTTCACTCCTCTGGGACACAGCCCCAGACTCTCAAGCTTTGCTTCCTCAGTCCTCTCCCCTGCCTGAAGGGAGCTTCCTGCCCCCTCTGGCTCAGCTCTCCTCGCCTAACACGGTCCCTGCAGAGTTTCTCAAGCAAGGTGTATAGAGGCAGGGGATGGAGGCCTGATTCCAGAGGGAAAGTGGGAGCTGTAGCTGGTGGGTGACGTTTGGGGCCAGTCAGTTCCCTATTCACGACTTCCCATTTCTTGCCACTTTCTGGTTTTTCCAACTGTTGTTGCTTCTGTTTTCTCCTCCCTCCTCTCCCTCTCTGTCTTTCTCTCTCTCTCTTTCTCCAGCCTCTTGCGACTCTCTCTGCCTTCCTCGCCTCTCTTGGTCTGCCTCGCCCTCCCCATCTCCCCATCATGCCCCCCGGCCCCTCCCTAGCCTTGAGGCCCAGGGACTGGGTTTGGGGGGCCTCCCAGCCTGGGCTAGGGGCCCTGAGTGGAAGACAGTGGTGCAGACGGCCCCTCCAGCTCCGACCATCCCGCAGGGCCTGAGCAGAGTCAGCTGGGGCTTAAAACCCCCTCCCGGCCCAAACCCCAAGTCCCGCCCAGGTAACGCCATGCCCCCTCCCCTGACCGGGGAGGCAGGCGTGATGCTGCCAGCAGAGCGCTGGCCAGATAATGGGCTGGTGCTGGGACTTAAGCTGGGAAGAAGCCATGCTGGGATTGGGGGACACAGGAGGCCTTGCCTTTGGGCGGTGGGGCACTGGGGAGGCAGCGCTGTCTGTCCAGCTCCCTGCCCCTGGGGTCCTGGCCGTGGGGTGGGGACCCCCTTGGGCCCTGGCTCCTGTGCGAAGCCTTGGATGATATGCGCCCTGACTCTGGCTCCCGCAGGTGGACACTGACACCATCTGGAATGAGCTGCATTCCTCCAATGCAGCCCGCTGGGCCACTGGCAGTGTCACCGACCTCGCCTTCAAAGTGGCTTCCCGTGAGCTGAAGGTAGGAGGTTTGGGACGAAGGTGGACACACCGCAAAGGAGGCAGCAGGGTGGGGTAATGGGGAATCCAGGCCCAGGACCCAAGGCATCATGTTCCTCTTAGAGATTGCCACAGCTGTTTGGAGGGGAAATCGAGGGCTCTGGGGACCAGGTTGAGCTGTGAACTCTTGGGGCACGTTCATGCAGCTGTGGGTCAGAGCTGTCGGTTGGGTGGCACGCATTCTCTCTTTTTCCAGAATGGTTTCGCTGTGGTTCGGCCCCCAGGACACCATGCAGATCATTCAACAGCCATGTAAGGCTAGGGAAGACCTGGGTGGGATGAGGTGGGGGGCACGCAAGGCTAGGGAAGACCTGGGTAGGATGAGGTGGGGGGCACGCAAGGCTAGGGAAGACCTGGGTGGGATGAGGTGGGGGGCACACAAGGCTAGGGAAGACCTGGGTGGGATGAGGTGGGGGGCACTCAAGGCTAGGGAAGACCTGGGTGGGATGAGGTGGGGGGCACTCAAGGCTAGGGAAGACCTGGGTGGGATGAGGTGGGGGGCACTCAAGGCTAGGGAAGACCTGGGTGGGATGAGGTGGGGGGCACTCAAGGCTAGGGAAGACCTGGGTGGGATGAGGTGGGGGGCACACACCAGGGTCTTCCTTTAGGGACATTCTCTCTTCTTCCCCAAGTTTTCTCAGGGTGGGCCAACCCAGGGGCCTGGGAGGTGAGGGGATGTGGAGAATGGGCTGGCAGGATCTGTCTCTCCTCCCAGGGGCTTCTGCTTCTTCAACTCAGTGGCCATCGCCTGCCGGCAGCTGCAGCAGCAGAACAAGGCCAGCAAGATCCTCATTGTAGACTGGGTAGGTGCTGTTCCTGGAGCCCTCTGATCCGACCTGAGCCCCGGGGGAAAAGCTCTGAGCTTGATGTTAGAGATGTGGCTTCATGTCCTAGTTCTGCATTAGCCTCCCCGAGGAGCCTCAGTTTCCCCTTACGTAAAGTTTGGGTGAAGATAATACCCTCGTCACAGTTGGGAGGTCCACAGGGGATGATGTGTGAGAATGCATTCAGCAACACAGGGCCCACAACAGGTAGGAGCTCTCCTTTGAGTGTTGTCTTTTGAATTCTGTTGGCTTCTTTTGGCAGATCTAGTAATTTCTGCATTTGCTGTACAGGTAGTGATGATAAGAATAAGAGCAGATAACATCAGTACAGCACTGATGACATCCAGACACTGATGGTTTTACACATGATGGGTTTAATCCTGACTATAACCCGCTTTACAGGTGAAAGTGAGCACAGAGAGGTTAAGTAACTCACACACAGTCATTCGTAAGTCATGAGATGGATTGGAACCCAGGCCGGTCAGCTCTAGAGTGCTTGCATTTAACTGCTAGGCGATTTCCCTTCTGCACTGACAGCTGTGAGAGATGTTTCTAAGCAGGAGTTGAGAATGGTGGAGGACCTTTGCACACTTGAGCCCCCGCATGGTTCTGTGAGTTGAGTGTAGGGCCCAGCGCTCCCTAGGAGAGCTCATGTACCAGCCCCTCTGTAACCGAGCTTGGTTCCTGATCACCTCACTTCATGACTTTATGCAAGACGCAGTGGTTCCTGATGTGTGTAACCCCGGACCCTCCCCTCTCCATGCCACTAACCCCATGTCCACACGGTTACTCTCTCAGGTGGGCTGGCCTAAGATTGGGACACTTCCTCTCCTTCAGGATCTCATATTACAGCCAGCCTCATCCCTCACAGAGAGACCGAGTTTCAGAGCCGGGCAGTGGATTATGTGGGGCCACTCAACCATGTGGCTCTAGGAACCCCAGGTTCCTGATCCCCAGGCTAGGGTCCTGACCTCAGAATGGCCACTGACCTTGAAACCCTTCTAACTTGTCCTGGCCTCCCTCTCTCTGCCTTCGGACCTTCCGTAATCACTGCCCATCTCCCTTCACAGGACGTGCACCACGGCAACGGCACCCAGCAGACCTTCTACCAAGACTCCAGTGTGCTCTACATCTCCCTGCATCGCCATGACAACGGCAACTTCTTCCCGGGGAGTGGGGCAGTGGATGAGGTAACTGCACATCAGGGCCACATCTTCCAGCCTCATCAACTCTCCTCCTGGCGCTTACTCTGCCGCTGTCATGACCAGCTATGTGATCCTGGGCAGATTGCCAAGGCTCTTTGATCCTCAGCTTCCCCACCTGGAAATGAGGAGGCTGGATGAGCTGGGCTGGCAGCGCTGACATGCTGGCGTTCCCCTTCTGGGACTCTACTGTCCTCATGTCTCTCTTGCCTTCTGTTTTCCAGGTAGGGGCTGGCAGTGGTGAGGGCTTCAATGTCAATGTGGCCTGGGCTGGAGGCCTGGACCCCCCCATGGGGGATCCGGAGTACCTGGCTGCTTTCAGGTACATGCTCTGGGGGCCCAGAAGGGCAAGGCCACCCTCTCCTGTCCCTTATTCCGAGATCACCGGGGTGGAGGTGGCCAGTTGGATTGTCAGCCTGTCCCCACCAGTTCCCAGACATGGAAGGTGAACAGCAGTGGGCATAGGACACAGAGAGAAGAACGTAGAAGTCAAAGGGCGCTTTGCAGAGGCAGACATTACCCAGAGCCAGTGTCAAACCGATTGCTGGCAGATGGGCAATGGAGTGAGCAGAGCTGACACATTTAGTCAGAGAAGGCTGCCTGCAGGAGGTGGGCTTTGAGCAGGAGAACAGAAACTTAAATTGTGGAGGAGACAAAGCGTATAATGTCCATATTGGAAGAGTAACTTGAGAAAAACTATTCTGGAAGAGGGGCTTCAGGATCTGTTCAGGAGCCCTCATATATTTCATACTGGGGTTCCTGCAGCCCATTTGGGGAAAGAGAGCTCTGGAAATGGATCTTGAAACACTTTTCTGGAGTTGTCTCCGACAGCTAATCCTGGGTCGGAGTTCCTGGAGTCTTCTCCGAGCTCAGGGCTTTGAAGAGCACCCAGGCAGGCCCCAGAGTTGGGTTAGGGGTAGGTGGAGGCAGCTGTGGGGACCTGGAAGAGGGACAGGATGAGAGAATGTAGCCAGGTGGCCCAGGACCTCAGAGTACCTAGTTGCCCCACCTCCACTCAGCTCTCAGGTAGCGAGTAGCTGGGTGTGGTCAACTCAGTCCGAAGGGCTGAGCATTTCCCGTTCCTGAAGCTTAGTGACCAGGCCCATCTCCACAGGCTGAGATTACCCTTTCCCTGTGGCTCTGCCCGCTGCACCCCACAGATGCTTGCATGCACACACACTCCCCTTCCATTCCTCTGGTGCCCATCCTTGGCTCCTTTCTGCCTCTTGCTGGTTAAGACCCTTAGGGGGCTAAATCCTCAGGCTGTGTGTGCCAGGGACATGGGTGGCCAGCCAAGGTCAGGGAGGTCAGAGAAGTCTGCCAGTTGTGCTGGGGCATTAGGAGCCTTGGAGTCCTAAGAACAGGATGCCCCACAGCAAAGTTGGCAGGACTGACCCTGGCAACCCTGCGCAGTACGATGACTGCCACTTCTTGTGACCTCACAGGATAGTCGTGATGCCCATCGCCCGAGAGTTCTCTCCAGACCTGGTCCTGGTGTCTGCTGGGTTTGATGCTGCTGAGGGCCACCCGGCCCCGCTGGGTGGCTATCATGTTTCTGCCAAATGTAAGGGAGGCTCAGCTGATGGGGAGGTGTAGGGACTGAGAGCCAGGCAGTAGGCGGGGTGGGGAGGCATTCCCAAGTCGAAAGGGGAAGGTGGCAGTAGCCAGCCCAGGGCTTGCAGCCTAAGGACTGGATTATGGCAGCTGGTCCTGAAATTCCCTGGGATCTCCAGGCCCTTTCTTAGGACCAGGCCGGTTCACCAAGGAAGGCTTCACCAGGTCCTACCTATGGAGACTCAAGTCCAGTAGGCAGGAAGCTCAGCCATGAGACTCCCCACCCCAGCTGACTTGATTCTAGGTGGGCTGGAAGCTCCTCCAGAGGAAGGGGTGGGAGGAGCAGCACTCTCAGAATAGAGGGCACCCACTCAGCCCACTGTGCCACAGGGCTCAGAGGACAGAAAGAGGAGAGGGTGTGGCTTAGTGAAAAAGACCCAGGCTAGATAGAGTCAGTGCCTCAAGTTGAAGTCCTACCTTGCTGCCACTTACTAGCTGTGGGGCCTTTCCCAAGGCCCTTAACCTCCCTGAGCCTTGAGTGAAGCATACCAGTAGGTTTTGCATGAGATTCAATGTGAAAGCACTTTGGAAATAGTGACTGATACACGTGAGTCATTATTAGGGAGGAAGCAAGCAGGGAAGCCACAGGGGTAGAGAACAGGGCCACCTCTCCACTCCCACCCCTCCTGTTTCCCCCCAACCAACCTCTAGGTTTTGGGTACATGACACAGCAGCTGATGAGCCTGGCAGGAGGCGCAGTGGTGCTGGCCTTGGAGGGTGGCCATGACCTCACAGCCATCTGTGATGCCTCTGAGGCCTGTGTGGCTGCTCTTCTGGGCAACAAGGTGAGCTGTCTCCCTCCCCACTCCATGCTTCTGTCAGGCAGGTGAGCCCAGCTCTCCCAGGACTACCCAAAGAGCAGGCAGATGGGATGGGACAGGGTCAGAGTGGCCAGGCCTGAAACAAGGTAGGTGAAGCGGAAGCCTCCATTCCAAGTTGGGCCCAGGCAGCATCTACTGACCTAGGTCAAGCGTGCTTGTGGCCAGGCCAGAACCCCTGGGGTGGGAATGAGCTGGGCCTGTGGGTCCCTGAGAGACTGGTGGCTGATGTACTGTTTTCTGTAGGTGGATCCCCTTTCAGAAGAAGGCTGGAAACAGAAACCCAACCTCAACGCCATCTGCTCTCTGGAGGCCGTGATCCGGGTGCACAGTAAGTCTGGCGATGGGCCACTCACTGGACTCAGACTGAAGGGTCTTCGTGGTACCCTGCCCCCAGGGGCCAGAGTCCTAGGGCTTTCCATGCCAGCCAGGTGACCTGCTGTTGGTCTAAGATTCCTGTGAGTCACCCAGGTGGGCACCCCTCGATGAGGGGGTATCCTCTGAGCCCTCCCAATGCAGCCAGAAGGGCCCACTGGACCATTGCCCCTCAAGGAAGGGACTGGCCTCCATCACTAGCTGCAGCCCTAGACCAGAGCCAGATCAACAGCAACACTCATGGCCTTGTGTGCCGAAAGGCCTGGTTCCCACCCCTCCCCTCAGTCCTGGCCATGAGGATCTCAGAAGCTCTGTCGGCTTGGGGGCTGGGTCTTGGGATAACCCCTACATTTGTAAAGTACTTTAAATTTTCAACTTCAACTCAACATCTATTGAGGATCTTATGTAAAGACCCATAATCTATACTGGGGATAAAAAAAATGAATGAAATGGATTCCCACATCTAGGGCTGAATAGGGGAGCCATTATGTCTCTACGTAACGGTAAAGGCACCGCTGATTCCTCTTGTGGGAGGTACCCTCACACTCAGCCAGGCTCCAGGACACAGTTCCTCACAGCATTCTCCTGGCCCGGCATGCATGCAGAGCGGCCGTGGTGACAGTCAGCTCTCTCACGTTGTCTTCTTCCCACCTCCTTTCCTGAGTGCTGGGCTGGGCACTGGTGGGGCTGCATGAGTGGGAGGCCTGGGCTTGCGGTTCCAGGAGGTCACTGTCACACAGACTCTCTCTGCAGGCAAGCAGGCCCTCTTGGTGCTCTTAGGAGCCCCGCACCTGTGGGGAATGAGTCAGAGGTGGCCTTGCAGCCACAGGGGATGAGAGAAAGGCTGGGCACCTGGGCACCCTCACAGCCATGTTGAACCCACTCTCCTCACCCTGTCAGGCAAAGTGAGGAGAGGGGCAGGTGGGAGAGCCAACCCCAAGTGGAGGACAGGCCCCCTCGTCTGGGGCCCTGGGCCTGAGACACCAACCTCGGTATCTGGTCTAGGACGTAGTGTGGAGGGGCCTGCTTTCTCCAAACCTTTCTGACCCGGTGTCCCACCTCAGGTAAATACTGGGGATGCATGCAGCGCCTGGCTTCTTGTCCAGACTCCTGGGTGCCTCGGCCGCCAGGAGCTGACAAAGAAGAAGTGGAGGCAGTGACCGCACTGGCATCCCTCTCTGTGGGCATCCTGGCTGAAGACAGGTAATGCCAGACCCCGGCCCGGGGCCCACGGCCTCTCCACCGCGTCATTCCTCCCTGCTTGAAGACCCCAGACCCCCTATGTAGCCATCCCAACCCTCCCAGGCTTCCTGACCAGGGCCGAGGAAGCTGGGCTAAGGCCCTTCCTGCAGCCCTGGCACTCCAGCATCCCACCCTTGTCCTTCCCTGCAGGCCCTCGGAGCAGCTGGTGGAGGAGGAAGAACCTATGAATCTCTAAGGCTCTGGAACCATCTGCCTGCCCATCATGCCCTTGGGACCTTGTTCTCTTCTAACCTCTGGCAGTTCCTGGGTCTTTAGAGATCCTGTGGGCAGGTAGTTGGGACCAGGGAACAGCCTGCCTGCTTTTGATGGTCATCCAGGGAGCCTGCAAAATCCCTGTGTCTAGAATGGGGACTGGAGAGGACCCTGAGAGAAGGCAGGCTGGCGGTGAGCCCCCACAGTGCTCTACCCTCCGGGGTCTGGGCCCTGGCTGTGGCCCCCATTCCTCAGGACCGCACAGAGGAGAACTGGCTCTGGCTCCGTCGGACTCGCCCTTAACCACTATTCCTGGCTCTGCAGACCCCAGACTTTGCACACAGCCCCAGGCTCCACACAGAAATGTGAACTTGGCCTCAGACCGGGTGGCCCTTCCTAGACTCTAGGGGCTGGGAGGGGACTGGGGAGCCAAGAGGTTCCATATCCCTGAGTGCAGTGGGAGTTCCTCTCACTTGCTTCCTCAGATGACTCTGGAAGCTTCCCCTGGCCACTGAGCACTGAGGTGAAGCTCCCTGATAGCCGAGACCGACAGCCCTCCATCTGTCCCTGCCCCTGCCAGAGGCCTCTGATGCGGACCTCCTGTTGGTGCCCTGGTGTCATGGACGGGAGCTCTGGGGGTCCTGTGCTTCCTGATCCAATGGTGCCAAACCCTTCATCTCCCCCAGAAGCACAGGTTACCCCCGGGACCCCTCAGCCACAGCCCCTCTGGGAGCCTTCTGTTTCTGGGGCTTCCCCCACACAGGACTAGCCTGGCTGAGGGGGAAGGGGTGGGAGAGAAGATACAGACATGGAGGAGGGGAGGCTGCTCTGGCAAAGTCTTCAAGGCTTTTGGGGGTCCAGGCCTGGGACCAAGAAGGAAAATGTGTGTGAGCGTGTGTGTGAGGATTGTGTGTGAACGTGTGTGAGGCGTGTGTGTGTCTGTCCTAGGACCCCCCATACCCTGTGTATGTATGCATGTTTTTGTAAAAAGGAAAAAAATGGAAAAAAATCTGAACAATAAATGTTTTATTTGCTTTAAAAGTGCCTGTGAAAGGGTCCCCCTGCCGGAAGTGAGCTGCACGCGGTCGAGTGGGTGTGGAGGGCATAGCAGTGCGGGTCTGAGTCAGTGCCTCAGTGCCGGAGGAGGGCCTAGGGCGGTCTGGGCTGCAGCCCCTCTAACTCTTTGCCCTTCCTGCCCTGCAGGAAGAACCCATTCTGAACACACCTTGGCTGTCCCACTTTGGGGTGGCAAGGAGGAGTCAGCCCTGGGCTGAGTCCACAGAGCCCAGCCTGATGTGGTGGGACTGGGGGTGGGGTGGGTGAGTGGAAATACAAGAGCTCAGCCCCAGCTTGCCATAGCGTCCCCAAAAAGCTGTGACTCAGACACACTGGGTTTAAGTCCCAGCTGCGAGCTCAGGTAAGTCAAATCATCTTCTGGAGCTTCTGCTTATCAGTAGAAGGCTCCAGAAGTCTACACTGTTCATGGTTCCTTCCTGCTCTGATGCACCATGCCTGATTAAGCATACACTGAACCCAGAAGACAGAAGGGCGAGGCACAGGCCTGGACAAGCTTGCCCAGCCTAAGCATAAAGGAAGGCGCCAGGCTGGCAGCACCTGACTTTGTGGTTCTGAGGCGGCCTGGTTTTTCCAGCAGGAAAAGGAGCACCTCATTACCTTAGACCTGGCCCAAGCTCCCGGCAGCCTGGCAGGGTGTGGGGGAAGAGGTGCTAATCCCTTTCTCATCTGGCCTGGACTCTCAGGTGTGGACACCAAATCCTGCAAGGGTGGCTGTAGCTGTGCATCCTTACCCTGGTGGGGTGTGCTGGAGAGAGAAGAGCTGGAGAAGGAGAGCAGAGCTGGTACTTACCCCATGCCAGAAGGCCCAGGGAGAGAGGGCCTCTGGCCCCAGAGACACTGACCCTGTCCCCTGCCCTCCAGGGCACAATTTAACCAGGGAAATGGCCTAATCAGGTAGCCAGAGAACTGCCACTATCACTCCCTCCCTGCCCAGTCCTCCTGAAGTCCACCTGTCCCCGCAAGATTCCCACCTCACAAGTAACCACCAGAGGCTGTCTGATACAAATGGCCGCTGTATTTTTGCTAAAGTGACAGTGACACAGATAAGGCAAAGAGCTGAGGGGCAGGACACATCAGGTGGGAAGGGGGAGACCGTGCAAAATGGCAGCCTAACATCAAATCATCCTTGTGACAACTGCCCCTTCCCTCCTGAGTGAGGTCAGCCCTTGGGCCAGTGTATGGGCAGAAAAGCAGATTTGTGTCCTTCATAAGAGAGATGTAAAAAGGTGAAAGCTCTAGTTGAAGGGCAGTGGAGGGGCTGGAGTGGGAAAGGGCTCCTGGCCGGTGGTCTGGGTGCAGTGAGGGTACTCTGAGAAGGCTGAGTGGAAACGTGGGGCTGGAGGGGCATGGGCACAGGTTTGGGGGCTCCTTCTAGCCTCTACCATGTTGCCCCCTTCCCCAAAGCCCTTCCAGGGGTAGGAGCACATTCCCTGTGACCCTGAGTCTGGCCTCATTTGAGAAGTCCTTCTCTGGGGTGTGTGGATGCCTGTGTGTGTGAGTGAGAGAGGTGTGGGGGCCATGGCTATCTGGCTCTAGCACACTCATGGGAGACCAGCTCGGAGCAGTGCTGGGATGGGGGCTTGAGTGGTCTCTGCTAGAGATTCCTGACCTGACCTCCCCAGGTCCCCACCCTTGCCTTGGGGAGAGAGTGCCTAGGGCAGCAGGGACGAAAGCCCCTGCCTGCAGCATAGGTCCAGGCCTCATGGCCCTACCCCTTGACCTCTTGATTTTGTTGCCCTGGACTTACCTACAAAGATTCCTCACTGCCTGCTAAGAAAATAGATCCAGGCCGGGCACAGTGGCTCACGCCTATAATCCCAGCACTCTGGGAGGCTGAGGCAGGTGGATCACCTGAGGTCAGGAGTTCAAGGCCAGCCTGGCCAACATGGCGAAACCCCATCTCTACTAAAAATACAAAATGTAGCCAGGCATAGTGGTGGGTGCTTGTAATCCCACTACTCGGGAGGCTGAGACAGGAGAACTGCTTGAACCCGGAAGGCGGAGGTTGCAGTGAGCCGAGATGCTGAGAGTGCACTGCTGCACTCCAGCCTGGATGGCAGAGTGAGACTCCATCTCAAAAAAAAGAAAACAGATCCATTTGAAAAGGTCTAGAGCTGCCTTCTGTCCAGGCCGATGAGGAGCAACATGGCAGGATCCCCTCTCTCCCACACCCAGGTCTCCCCCAAAGGGGGTGGGGGGGACAGCTTCCTGGAAGACCACGTTGGTCCTGCTGTGTATTTTCTGCCACAGTTCTGGGGCCCCTAGAGGGTGGGAGTAGCCCTTCCCAACGTCTCAGAGGCTGAGTCCAGGTCCTAAGGCCCCCAGGGTGCAGAGCCCTCACCCCCTGGGTCAGAAGTCGCTGAGGATGCTGATGTCGGCGAAGTCGGCCCGGTAGCGGTGGGCATGTAGGCTGAGCAGGAAGGCCCACTTGAAGGAAATGAAGCTCCAGACGCTGGAGAGGTAGTAGCTGGTGGGGTCTGTGAGGCCTGCAGGGAAGAAGCACCGACAGTGACTTGAGCAGGCCCTGCCCTCGGCCCCTGTACCAGCTGCAAGGCCAGGGCCACCCTCCCCACTCAACATCCCCACAAGCTCCCGGCAGCTGAACCGACCCTACAGAAAGACGGTGTAATAAAGGCTTAGAGCTGCAGTCCTCAACCTTCTTGGCAACAGGGACTGGTTTCATGGAACACAATTTTTCCATGAAAAATCAGAGGGGATGGTTTTGGAATGAAACTGTTTCACCTTAGATCAGACATGACATCATCAGGAGCACACAATCTAGATCCCTTGCACGCCAAGTTCACCATAGAGAATCTAATACCTGCTGCTGACCTGACAAGAGGCAGAGCTCCAGTGCTAAGGGTTGCTCACCCCTCATCTGCTGTGCGGCCTGGCTCCTAACAGGCCACGGACCACTACTGTTCCATGGCCTGGGGGTTGGGGACCGGTTTAGAGCACTCTAGGCTTTTCAGGCAGGAGGCCATGGGGATTAGGGAAGGGCAGGGCTGGCCAATCACAGGTCTGTATCATCCACTCTGCTTTTGTGACAAGTACTCCAGGACACGTCCAACCTGCTTTGGCATCAGACTCCAGAACGGGCTCTGGTTACTTCCTGCCACAGCCACCAGAGGGCGCTCCCATCCCGGAGCAGGGCAGAGACTGACGGGTACCAATATCACAAGTGCTTGCATGGGCTATGCACGGCTCAAGACATCACATCAGGTTCCTGAACCCACCCAGCTTGGGAGGTAGGGACTCGTGTTCCCCACTTGAACCGTAACAAAACCTGAGCTGAGGGAGGTTAATTGATCTACCCAGTCCCTTTGGAAATAACCTGTGGAACCAATATGGGAATCCCAGGGTCTGCTGCTAAAATCCCCCCCCGCTGTCCATCCCATGCCCTCTTTCCCTGGAACCCGTCCTCACTCTGGTGCCGGGTGATGGCCAGCACGAGGAAGGTGCAGAAGGCAGCAATGGAGACAGCCGAGAAGAGGACACCCACGAAGAAGAAGCCGCGCAGCCCCTTGAGCCAGGTCCTCCAGTAATCCTGCATGTACATCACGTGCATCACCAGGACCCACAGCGCCAGCACCCCTGCAGAAGAGACACATCAGGGCCTGTCCCCCAGGTGCTCCAGGGCCCTGTAGGTCCACTAGGCCAGGCCTATTTGCATAAGAAGAGCAGGTATTCCAAGAATATGGTCTAGTCACTCACCCCCTCCTAGAATGGAGTTTTCCTGGTGGCTGTGGTATCAGAAGCAGGTAAGAGACTGAGCTGCCTGCTAGTTAGCCCAACATTAGAGGGATCTGCAGAAATATAAAACTCTACCCTTCTCTCTCATTTTTTTGTTTGTTTTGACAAACATGAGTATCTCTCACAAAAATGTTAATTCATGTTATTTTAGTATTACTTTAAAATGCTGAAAATGTTCCATTTTAACTTCTAAAATGGTATATATCAAGAGCTATAACTCACATACATAAAATTTGTGTGGAGTTTCACTACTTTTCAAAAGAATAAAGGGATCCTGAGAACCAGAAAGTCTGAGCCTTTACAGCCCAGCCTGCTTTCCGGGGACTTGCCAGTCTACCCTGAGAGCCACAGAGCAGGGAAGCCATCGCTCCTGCCCCATGCTCCTCCCCCACCCAGCCACAAGGCCTGCAGCTGAGCTCTTGGGCAGCAGGGCTCTTTCCAAACTGCCTGAGATAGTCTTGCAGGACGGGGAGATACAGTCATGAAGACCCCAGGGCCACCCAGCCCCTGAGTGGCCTTCTTGTTCTTGGCCAGACCTCATGCCACTCCCTCCATTTTGTGGCAAACAGCACGCCACCCCCTCCGTCCCCCTGCCTGCCCCAACTTTTCCTGGGCTTGGCCTCTGCGCCTGGGTGGGCACTTCCCCTAGGATGCCAGCTGCTACCCGGCCGATACAATACAATACAATACAAAACAACCCTCTGTGCCAGGCAGTGCCTGCTGGTGCAGCCCAAAGAGTGGAACAAATATCAACTCCATTGGCAAGGTTCCGGGCAGGGCAGTGGGTCCCGGCAAGGGAGGAATGAGGGAAGAGGCAGGCTTGCAGCTGCCTGAGCTACAGGGTGTGGGCCACTCAGGCCGCTGCATCCGAGGAGTTGGGAGGCCTTTCCAAAAGGCGGCTGCACACACGCCATGCAAAATACTTACCAAATGTGCACAGGAAGGAGAAGCATCTGGTTGGGGAAAGTGGTTCTCTCTGGCAATGGAGACAAGGAAGGGAAGTTGGGGTGGTGGGGCAGGGAAGCGCTTCGTGGGAATCTATGCTATTTTGTTTCTTCGGCTGGGTGGGGAATGTATACTATTTGATCTATGCTGTTTTCTTAGGCTGGGTGATGAGTATGAGGGTATTTGTTAAACCGTCCATCCTTTTTTATATGTCTAAAATATTTCATGACTTTTTTAAAGGGGGAAAAAAGGCAAGAGGAAGCTAGTCCAGCTCAGAGGCTGTCCCAGTTCGGCTGTCCCCAGGCAGTCCAGTGAGGAACAAAAATCCATGAGACTTCAAGCAAAGAAAATGGGAGCTTGGCACTGCTGTGTCCCAAGGCCTTGGTATTTCCACATCTAAAAATGGGTGGACCCAGGGTTCCACCCTAGTGAGGGCGGAGGCCTACCAAGCCCGAAGCTTCCCCCAGCCCCTGCCACTGTTTGATCCCCCAACACTCTCCCAGCTGTGCCCCTGCCCACCTCCACTCTTCTTCAGGGGTTGGGCGCCTGGGTCCCCCTCCCATTGACATCAGGGTGGCCCTAGTCTGGATGCTGGAGCCGGTCTGAGGTGGACAGGACAATCATCCCACAGCTTCCTCTTAACATCCTACAAGATCTGGATTTTATACCAGCCACCTTCCCCAGAAGTCCCTCCCACTCCTCACAGGCATCCCGTTTTCATTTGAGGGAGCTGTTTGGTTTCTTAAAGGGCCCTGGGAACAAGGCTTGCTGTCACTGAGCACACTCAAGGAATAGTGTGATGGGCACCTGTCTGAAACAGGTCTGCCTGCCATGTCTCCTCGTGCCACAGAGGGGTTGGGGAAGTTGAGCTCTAAGATCCTTTCCTACTCAAAGATTCTAGAAGCCAGCCTAGGAGAAAAATAAGGTCAGAACAAATCCTCTGTGACTCAGCAGTTTTTGGGTTAGGAAATGCTGAAATAGGGGCCCATGAAGATGCCATCTTAGTCCACTGATCACGATCGAGTGGTTCCCCAAAACTCCCACCGCCATATACACGCACATACCAAAGAGGGCTAAGGGCAGGAGGGAGAGGAAGACAGGCATTGGGCTATTTCAGGCCCTGTTGTCTGTTAATAAGCAGGCATACTTTACCCACCTCTCACCTTTCCTCAGCCCTGCTCCAGAACCTGCACAGAGGCCTCCCCTCCAGATAAACACACACCAACTTTGGAGGCAGGCCTGATCCCACCCGCCCTAGCTCCCACCACCCTCCTGGGAAGGGAGCTGTCCACTAGCCCTACCCAAAGGGGTCACTGAAGGAGGTAGAGCCCCCTCACTGGTCCCCTTCCACACATCAGGCAGGAGGCAATGTCCCTCCCTGGTACCCTTCCCTAGCATATTTGGGGTTTCTAGGAAGCCTGTTTTGCAAAACTCAGGGTGGAACGAACAGGTCCAGCTCCACCTGGTCAGAAGCCCACCAGACCACACCACTGTTCCACCCCACCTGTTCCAAGGAGCAGAGCCCTTGCTCGGCCTCTGGGCTTACAGCTGATAAGAAAGCTAAGGGCAAGGAAGGCACAGGGTAGGGCGGTGAAAGCAACCCCAGTGGCTGTGCTGGAGGTGAGGAGACAGGAGACATCGGGAGATCCTACAGGGTAAACGCAGACAAGAGGAACACTGGGCCGAGGTCAGGCCCTCTGCTCCTGCCTAGGAGGAAGGCAGTCCTGGGGCCCCAGGGCTCTTGCTCACAGCTCAAGGGGGAAAATATAGAACTGTTTAGACTCCTGGAGCAACTTTTCTCTTTCCTTGTTCTACTAAACCTAGAGCAAGAGTCTATGTGTTACCCCAAGGTTCCCACAGCGAAGTCAGACCAGGTAGATCCAACCCACGCCTGCCCACCTCCCCAGGAAAACCAGCCTTGCTTCAGCCACTGCCTTTCTCCAAAGCCACTTCTTCCAGGATACCCATCAGGATAGGAGAGGGTGTCCCACCCATGAACACTCTGTGCACCAGACCCAGGGGGGCTCCATGACCCTGCTTCAGAAACTGGCATGCCAAATCAGTCCTTGCCTGGTCCAACCCAGGGGAGAAGGAACACTCTGGGTGACTCAGCAGATTCTGAGCTACAAAATGCTGAGTCAGGAGTAGGGTGCTCACAAGTTAGTAAATCTGCTGATACTTTACCGCCAAAAGAGGAAGAAGGCTGACTGGCCACAGACCCTCTGGGAACCCACTCATGGTGGGGAAGGTGGGGGGCCCAGGCTTGGCAACTCTCCCTGCCACCATCATCCACCACCACTACCAAGCAGTTTTGGCTCTTCCACGGCCACTGTCAAAGATCAGACCATCAGGGAGATGCCAGGACTCTACTCCAGCTGGCTGTGGCCCTAGCGCCTCTCTCTGAAAGCAGCTCCACAGCTGGCCTGCCTCAGAGGCCTAGGGAAGCCTGTGGGGAGGGAGAGAGGGCAGAGGTGGGTCGACAGGAAACCCCAGGCAACTCCCTGGAGTGTAAGGAAGGCCTTTTCCAGTCCTCCAGTAGGCAGCTGGAGATGGAAGATTCAGGGAGTACGCAGAACTGCAAGATTTCAGATCTGGAGGGAAATCAGACGTCATTCAGGGACATCTCCTCCCTCTCCTAATAGATGAGGAAACTTGCCCAGGAGGGGGTCAAACGGCCAGGTAGGGCTCACATCCACTTCCACCAGGCCAGAATCAACACACCCAGCTGGGATCCCAGGGCCGGCCCTCCCTCCTCATCCCATCTCTCGCCTTGGGTCTTCGCAAGTCAATGGGTAGGGCTGTGACACCGCCTTCCAGAGGGGAAAGCAACAGGGCCAGTAGGAAACAAAAAAGTGGCAGGGAGACGGGCCAGTTGTCCTCAGGAGCCCACAGGTGGTGAGGCAGCTGGGCAGGCAGGGAACACCCCAGCCAGGGTGCCTACCCTCCTTCTCAGTGACCCAGCACTTTGCTGTCATTGTGTAGGGTGGTGCTATGTATGCCCGTCTTCTAAGGAAGAAACCCTGCCTCATGCTGCGACTCTACCCTGGGATGGCTCTCAGCAAGCCTGGGGGCAGTGAGTAAATTAGTTATTTTTAGTTATTCCATTTAGAGTTCTCTTGGCAGAGGATTTTAGTAATGGAATATGATCATCATGTGTAAAAGTATTATCCTTACACGTATTTTCTTCCCAAAGTCCTTTCCCACACATATTATTTCATTTAGCTGTGTAATCTTGGGTAAGCAATTTATTTAACTTCAGGCCTCAGTTTCCTTGTCTGTAAAATGGACACAATAATAACGCCTACTTCATGAGAATAACGTAAGAATTAAATGAAATAAGGGAAGCAGGTTGCTTAACATAGTACCTGACACATATAAAGCATTTAAAAATGTTAGAAAATAGAATATTTTTCATCTTCATACCAATTCTATGGCACAGAGAGGTTAAACTGCGTGCCCAAAGGTGCACAGCAGGGAGCACTGGGCAGCCCAGAGCCTCTATCACCGCGCCGAGGCTTCCCCTTCCCTCCCTGAGGCACAGAAGGGGCGGCTGGGCTGCGGGGTTTGGCAGATCTTGGCTGAGGAGCCGCAGAAGACGGGTGGCAAATAGGAACGGACGTGGGTGGAAAGAGAATGTCCAGTTTCTGTGAGATCCCAGCGCGCTCCTCCCGGTGGGTCTCAGCAGAGGGCTCCCCGGGGATGGGGTCCGCAGTGGAAGGAGGCGACGGGCTTCCCCAGCCACCCCAGCCCCCGTCCTTTCCCACTGCTTCCTTCTCCGCCCGGCGGGGCAGGGATCTGCGCGCGCGTGTGCGCGTGTTTGGGGAAGGAGGGGGCCCGCGCCGCGGGTGCGCGGAGGGGACACTGTCGGGGGGCGACAGGCAACGCGCCGGGTCTGTGGCGCCCGGGCGGGCATCGGGTCCCGCAGGCACCCGGGAATGCCCAGGAGCCCGGCCCGCGCGGGGCCTCGGCCGCCGACCGTCATTTTCGCGTCAACACCCCACCCGCTCCCCGGGGAAGCGCCGCTCGCGAGGAGCGCCCTGGAGCCGCTGCCAACGCCCGCCCCGCGCCGCCCCGCGCCGCCCCGCGCCCGGGGTACCTGCGAGTCCGCCCATGGCCGCGGTCCCCGGCTGTCTGTAGACCACGGTCCAGACGAGGAAGATGGAGAAGCCGGCCACGGAGCTGACGCCGGAGTAGGCGGCGCGGAGGCCGAGCTGCAGCCGGGACGGGGCCATGGGGCCGCAGCGCCGAGCCGGCCGAGTCACAGGTGCAGGACCCGGAGCCGCCAGCCGGAGCCGCCGGAGCCCCGCGCCCCGCGCCCCGAGCTCCGCCCCCGGCCCGCCCCCCGCGCCGCCGGCACAGCGCCCTCCCCGGCCGGAGGCCGCCCGTGCCCGGAACCGCAGACGCCACCGCCGCTTAGCGAAGCCGCCGCGCCGTTTGGGGGACGCCTGTTAAAAAGGCGGATTCCTGGGCTCCTCCCCACACCCGCCTGTCACTAGAGTTGGGCCTCGGAAGGGCCTGGGAATATGCCTTTATACAAGCCAGCCGCGGGGATGAAGAATCTTTACTTCTGAACAAAACTCGTATTCTCGTTTAAATTTAAATTTCTTGTTAAAAATTAATGTGTAAAACTTTTTTTGGTTTTCCTTTTAAATTTTTTTAAATATTTTATTTTTTAGAGACGGGGTTTCAGCATGTTGGTCAGACTGGTCTCGAGCTCCTGACCTCAGGTGATCTCCTTACCTGGTTCAAACAATTCCCCTGCCTCACCCTCCCAAGTAGCTGGGATTACAGGCAACGCCACGAAGCCTGGCTAATTTTTTGTATTTTTAGTAGAGACTGGGTTTCACCATGTTGGCCAGACTGGTCTCAAACTCCTGACCTCAGGCAATCCGCCTGCCTTGGCCTCCCAAAGTGCAGGGATTACACGCGTGAGCCACTGCGTTTGGCCTTTCTTTTAGGGTCTCACTGTTGCCGACGTTGGAGTATAGTGGCGCCATCATAGCTCTGCATCCTCCAACACCTGGACTTTAGCAATGCTCTCTCCTCAGCCTTCCACGTGGCCAGGTGTGTGCCACCAGGTGTGGCTAATGTTTTTTGTTATTTATTTTTTGTAGAGATGGGGTCTCACTATGCTGCCCAGGCTAGTCTCCAATTCCTGGCCTCAAGCTCTCTTCCCACCTTGGCCTCCCAAAGTGCTGGAATTACAGGCCTGAGCCACTGCAACTGACATCCCCTTTCCTTTTATCCTCACCAGCCTCATCCTCCCAAGCCCTTTTGGAACATCATCCTGACCCTCAGAGTCATACCATTCTAAGGTAGAGACAGATGTGTAGCAGGAGTGCACTGAGCTCCCATGTGAGCCCAGCTTCTAGCCGGGAGCTGGAAGGAAAAATCCCAGCACAGTCACAAGGCTCTGCCACAAGCACACAAAACATCGCAAACCTCCACAAAACATAACCAGCACCGCTTGCACTACGTTTGCTGTTGTAACAAATTACCACAAATGTACTGACTTAAAACAACACACACTTATTATTTCACAGTTTTGTAGGTCAGGAGTCCAAATAATGGTCTCGCGGGGCTAAAGTCAATGGGACATCAGGGCTGCGCTGCTTCTGAAGGCCCTAGGGGAAAATCGGTTTCGTTTCCTTTTTCAGCTTCTTTGTTTTGAGTTGAAGTGTCACTCTCACCCAGGCTGGAGTGCAGTGGTGTGATCTCAGCTCACTGCAATCTCTGCCTCCTGGGATCTGGCAGTTCTCCTGCCTCAGTCTCCTGAGAAGTTGGGATTGCAGGCTTCCACCACACGTCCGTCTAATTTTTGTATTTTTAGTAATGACAGCGTTTTGCCATGTTGGCCAGGCTGGTCTCAAACTTCTGACCTCAGGTGATCTGCCCACCTCGGCCTCCCAAAGTGCTGGGATTACAGGCGTGAGCCACCATGCCCAGCCGCCTTTTCCAGCTTCTAGAGCAAGGCCACCCATGTGCCTTAACTCCCTCTTCCTGCTTTTCCCTTGTAAGGACCCCCGTGATTGAGGGGATAGTCCAGGATCACCTCCCATCTCAAGATCCTGGACTTCATCATGTCAGCAAAATAAATCCCTTTGCCGTGGAAGGTGACATATTCACCGGTGCTGGGATGAGGTTGTGGACATCTTTGGGGGCCATTATCCCACCCACCACACCCCCTCTGGAACATAAACTTCATGAGCAGGGACAGTGCCAGTTTTGTTCACACCAACACCTAAAAGAGTGTCTGGCATATAGTAAGCAGTTAATAAATGTCTGTTGAATAGATGAGCGTGAGTGAATGAAGGTGAGAATAAAATAAGAACAAAAGCAATGACACACAAGGAATCTAGACAGTTGTGCCGAACTGCCAAACAAGGGAGGTAAACCAGTGTTAAGCACATTTACGTCACTCTAGAATAATCTCGGAACTTCCTTTAAAAATTAAAAAAAAACCCAACCCCACCCCTGCCTATTAAATTTTGAATCTTGGAGTTTTTTTTTTTTTTTTTTTTTTTTTTTTTTAAGATGGAGCTTTGCTCTTGTTACCCAGACTGGAGTGCAATGGCGCGATCTCGGCTCACCGCAACCTCCTGCCTCAGCCTCCTGAGTAGCTGGGATCACAGGCACGCGCCACCACGCCCAGCTGATTTTTGTATTTTTAGTAGAGATGGGGTTTCACCATGTTGACCAGGATGGTCTCAATCTCTTGACCTCATGATCCACCCACCTCAGCCTCCCAAAGTGCTAGGATTACAGGCGTGAGCCACCACGCCCGGCCATGGAGTGTGTATTTTAATGAGAAGTGATGTTAAGGTTGTGAGCTCAGCATCGGCCCCCCTTTAGGAGCTGCTCGTGGGGAGTAAGTGCCCTTCCTGTGGAGGAGGGAGCAAGCCTGGTGGTCGGTGGTCGGGAGTGCATTGCCATGGATGGCTTCAGAGCTGGCCGGGATGGACGACATTCCAGGCATGTGTGATGGCCCAGAGGGAAGAAACAGCCTGGCGGCTTTGGGAAACTGTAGGTCGTTTGTGCCTGGAATGTCAAGTTTGAAGGTAGAGTAGTGGGTTTGGAGATTAGAAAGGTTCTGAACATAAAGGGCCTTGCATACTCTGTTAAGAAGGCTGTTCCCCCCCTCCCACCGCCCCCCACCGGGGCTGGGGAGAGAAGTTACAGAATTCTGTGTTTTAGAACTATGGCAAGAGTCATAGAGTGAAGGAGAACCACCAGTGAAAGACTAGAAGCGGAGAGAGGAGCTGGACAAGCTTCACTGCACGGTGCTTTAAAATGGAGACTGCAGTAACACCTGCTTCCAAGTGTGATGAGGACTGCTTGGAAGGGTGCCTAGCACATGGGAGGTTCTCAATAAACGTCAGGAAGTACAATTAGTAGCAGCAGAAGGTTGCCATGGCAAGAGATGATGAGAGGCTTCAGAGTCGGTTCGGGTGGAAGCAGTGAGATTGGAAGAGATGAAACTGCTTCAAGAGCTATTTCAGCTCTCTGAACCCAAAGGTCAGGGGAGAATTCATTAGCTGAGCAGACGGAGGAGGAGAGCACAAATATTGTGAGTGGACATTAGGAGTATGGGAGAGCAGTGAGCAAGCTTGCTGTGCTGGAAAGTGAGATTGTGCAAGAAAAGAAAGAGAAATAATTATGTAACAGCCGTACTGGCCCAGGCTGTAGAAGGCTAAGGCCAGGCTTCAACATTTTTAAAACTGTGGAATCAATGAAGAGGCCTGGCTTCACCTTTTGCTGTGACCCTGGGCAAGTGCCCCTAATGCACAGCGGTCCAATCCAATCCGCTTTCTGCCTGGAAGAAAATAGTCCATATCTGCACCCTCCACAAATGTGGCCACTAATCACAGGTGGCTATCGAATACTTGATATGTGACTAGTGTGATGGCAGAACTGAATTTTTAATTGTATTTAATTTAAATTAGTTTAATGCATTTAATTTAAATTAATTTAAATAGCTGCACATGACTAGTGGCTGCTGTGTTAAACAGCTAGAACCTCTCAGGACTCCTGCTGCGCCCTCTGTACACAGGGAGTGACGCTCATACATCACAGGCTTGTTAAAGGTTGAGATACATTGAGATGCTACAGTGGAAGTGCTGAACATAGTAGTTCAACAAGGCACTGCTGCTGTTGCTGATACTGTTATTACTGAATAGGGATTGCATGACATAAGCCAAGTCTTAGGAAGATTAGACGGTCATATCCAGTTAGATTTGATGGGGGAAAAGAGTAGAGGATAAAACATTCACAAGGTTATTTTGGTGACAAGGAACAAAGGAATTAAGATCTTATCCAGTGAGAGACCTTGAGAATGCGAGAGAACGGAATGATTGCTGAGCCACAAAGCACACGGCTGTGCACCACACACACACATCTTCTCATATCAGCCTCCGTCAAGGCACCCTCAGAGAGCACACTCCCACCGCAGTCCAGGACGGCCACCACTTCGACCTCTGCAAGATGCACAGCCATTCTTCCTGCCTGTGGCAGAAACTACTAGAGAATTGGCAACACAGGCCAACATTGATGTGTCTCTTTCTGGGCACAGGACCTCCCGAATCTGAACTACATTTCCCAGCTTCTCGTAGTTAAGCGGATGTCATGGGATCAATTTCTGAACAACGGAATGAAGGCAGAAGCAATGTGTGCAATTTCTAGGCCGAACCCATTAAAAAATCTCCCATCCACTCTGCATTCCCTCTTCCCATTCTGTGATGATTTTAGAGGCCATATGTAGCAATACTACATAATGTAAAGAACCTAGAGCCTTGAATGAACAAATGGAGCAGAGCTACCCCAGGCCCCTGGACCCTCACTGGACTATACAACATGAGCGAGAAATCTCAGTGGCTTTGTTACAGCTCAGCTGTTATCCTCAGACATCATCCCTCATTCCACTGATGGTCGTCTAAACCATCAATCCCTCTGAAGTCTCTTTTGAACTGGGTCCCGCCAATACTAAGACAGATTTCTAACT